GGGGGGGGGGGGGTAGCGAGAGAGCGCTGTGCCAGCCTCGGCGCCTGGACGGTAGGCCGCCCCCGTAGAACTGTCGCACGGCAGCGCAGCGGGTGGCCTATCCTCGCGAGGTCAGGCGCGCGCGCTCACGCCTACCCACATTTGTTGTTGTTGATGTTGCAGGCGTAAAAGCAGCGAAAGTGGTGGTTGTTAGTGTCGAACAAAGTGGGGTTAAGCTGTGGAGGAAGAAAGAGGGGGGAGGGGGAAGGCTCACCTCACACCTCACACACATATAGCCTCGCTCTCGCTCTTCTCTTCTTGACCCCCCGCAAGAGCAGCGGAAACCAGAACGCACACCCCTTCCCGAAGGTCCCGACGGTCCCGACGGTCCCGACGACCCCGGCTCCGGCCGCACGGAACGCTCATTGTTGTGGCACGTGAAACAGAACAAGAAAAAGGATACTTTTGACGTGGCGTGCGCGCTGCGGCGGCGGCGGCAAGTGCCGACGATTCTTTTTACTCTCCGTCTCTCTCTCTCTTACTCTCTGTCTATCTCTGTCTTCCTCCCTGCCCGCCTCTCTCTCTCTCCCTCACCCATACTTTTTCCCTCGCCACGCTGATGATGGTGGTGGCGGTGGTGGTGGTTTTCTGTTGCTGCAAATCCTTTGGGTACCAACGGCAACAAAGAGCGTTGCCGCCACCGCTGCAGTCGCTTGCACTCTGAACGAACCGGCGCACCACCGGCGTGTAACGGGAAGGGTGCGCACACACGTGTGTGTGTGTGTGTGTGTGTCGCAAACTCCTCGCGCGCCATACCGCACGCCGGTTACTTGCAAAACGCGACCGACCCCGCCGCAAATACACGCACACACACACGCACATGCACATGCATGTGTGTCTTATGCATATTTCTCGTCGGAAGTATATACAAGTCACGCATGTGTGTGTGTGTTTGTGCGCCGGAGGGTTTATCTCCCATTTGTTGCCGGCGGCCTTATGCGCGCACAGTCTAGTGTGGAGCGCACCGTCTCGCTACATTCATGCTACATTACCGACGTGTATTACAAATGTTTGCGGTATTGTATGAGTAGGTCCTCCCAGCAGTGTACTACGTGCGGCCCTGGCGCTCCTATGTACATGCCTCGTTATCACCAGAGGGTCCCTGGACACGTCCGTTTATCAGCACCTCGCCGGCCCGTCCGTCACCCGCCCTCTCCGGTCCTCTCTCCCCCTCTTTCTTCCTTTACTCGCGCACTCGGCGTGGTTTTATGCACGTGTTTCTTTTTGCTTCACTGTAAAAACAAAGGGGTCTTCCTATGAATTTAGAGTTCTTCTGGACTGAAGTTTTTCTTACAGACCAGTACTCTGAATACAGAATACAGAAAAAATTCTAATATATTAAACTTTGATGTTCAGTGTAAGCTTGAAGATTCCCTGTGTTGGTCTAAAATCAAAGATTCAGAGTGACAAGTCTGAAAAACATTTACTGAGTATCCAGATGATTTTTTTTAAACAGCAATGTTTAAAAGTGCGAAGTGCGACACGGTGCTGTGCGCCCTTGCGTTAGGAAGGCCTCCTTGATTGTTCGCCACCCTCTGCCCTCCTCTCCGCCCCCTTCTCCCTTTGTCTCCCTCTCTCAGTATTCTTTCTCCTGGCCCGACTGCTGGGGCGGTATCAGCGGCGCCTATAGAGGCGCCAGGCGCTCCGCTCGGTGCGACTGCGCGGCCGGGAGGGGGCGGGCAAGGTAAGAAAAGAGGAAGGTTCTAAAAGGAAGGAGTGGGTATATTGAAGACGGGAAGGGGGAGGGGAGGGGGAGTGAAAGGACAATTGAATGAAGGTGGACAGGGGCCTTTTGTTCGGGGCTCTCCGCGTCCGCTCGCGCGCGTGGGCGGCCCGACCGGTATGTATGGTAGTGCCGAGCACTGTTAAAATAATAGCAATAGTCTGCACACTGTGAGGAGACTATTACATTATGAAACACACGCTCGATATCTTTTGAGTATAAAACTCGCGGCGAACGCATGCTTGAGTGCGCCTGCTTGAATGCGTTCCGTTCTTTATAGCGAATTCTTACCGGGGTTTGCTCTGATAATGTTTCATGATGGTCGGTCGTTTAACTGTGTAGCACACAGAGAGCGAGAGAGGCGGCGGAATGGGCGTTCCTGAGGGAAGAGCCGACAAGTACGAGAGGGAACGCCCGCCCCACCTCGCCCCGCCACGCCCTGGCTCGCGATCGAGTGATACTGCCCTGTAATTTATACCGATCTGGCCGTTTGGGCCGAAGGAGTCGTACCGGGGGCGCGGCGCGGCGTCGCGGTCGGGTCGGGTGCTCGAGCCGGGCACCGGCCGGGTACCTCAAGGGAAGGATATCTCACTCCGGCCGAACAGCGTGTGCGCGTGTGCGGAGATATGTACGACAGGCTGCACGGCACCTACACCGCAACAGCAACGAACAATGCGTCGTCATTCCGTTGTTTGCTGAGTAAACTTTTCCCGGTCGGAGTTTATCAATGATGTTAAACTTTATCAACTAGCAGCTAAAATAAAGTCTCGAAAGAGTGTCTGTCACGATGTACTCAAAATGTGCCGCACCTATATTGCGAGAGCATTGCGAAATGCGGGGTTTACCTCAGTTGTACAACATTTCCTGCCCATGTTTCCCCTTTGCTGACAGCTCGAGGGGCAGCAAAATGGTTTGTTTGTCCGCTCTGTTTTCCTTTTCTTTTCACGGCCTTGCGGTTTCGCGTCGCGTCTATCGCCGTCGGCTGACCGCCGCGGCCGCGCCGCCCCCACCGCCTCGAATTGGATCGCCTCCGCGGCCATCAGTGGGTGCGAGAGAGACGCGCGGGCAAATCGCGTTGCGGGTTTCGCGGCGGATCGCGTTCGAGAGGGAAAGTGCAAATAACAAAAGTGCAGAAAAAGAGTCTGCAAGCCGGCCCGGCGGCGGCCCTAGCTATCGCGTCGTTACGTTCGGTTTATTGGTTGTTGTTTTTTTGTCTGACAGTGTCGTGTTTTTTTGTTTCCCCAGGAGCCGCAGTGATCCTGCAGGATGCGAGAGCTCAAGAGCCCCGCGGTGGGGGTGGCGCCCCCCTACAGCCCGCTGGGGCCCCTGAGCCACCTGGGGGGCGTCGGGACGCCGCTGTCGCACCGGACGAGCGAGACGAACCTGCGGCGGTGCGGAGGCGTCACCTCAAGGTACGGGGACATTGAAACTACCAATCGTTTACTTTCATTCTAAAGTGAATAACTTGAAAATTAATTGTGTTAAATAGTGTGTAGATGTTAATTTTTATTTATGTCTTTTACTAGGGCGTCACAGAAAAGCTCGCTGCTCTATGATTTTCTCGATGGCAGAGATCTTGGTCCACAGCGTTCCGTCTCACTGGTAAGTTTTAATTTTCAATCAAATGTACCTCTGTTTATGTTTTTAGTTTTCGCTTTTCCTTGCCGTGTCGACGGATGTGCACCTGCTCGCGCCCCCGTGCCGTGACACATATAGCGATGGCGATTCGATCCACGGTAATGGCCGGCATTACATTGCGGTTCGCTGCTAATCCATCTTCCCATCCTTCTCTCTCGCTCTCAAGGAGAGCGTCGGCGAGCGGCGCGCTCAGTGCCGCCGCACAATGAGTTCGACACGTATATCACTTTGCGACGCGGGGACACGACGCGTTACGCGCGCCGCCCCGCCCCGCCCCGCCGCACGCTCTACCCACGTGCGTTCGCACACCGCGCTTTTACTCTCATTTGTCCGCGGGAGGCCGCACCTGGACGGGATCTACCTTTTTATTGACAACCCTGACCTGATAGTTGAAACACGTAGAGTACACACAGGGCGTCCAATTATTTAACGAAGAAGAACAATCTTAAAAAACGAATAGAAACCCTTTGGAGGGTATCAGAAACCATGTCATCGGGCTTCACCTTTAGTCACGCCTTAAGTAGCGACTGGGGCGGGGTCTGGACTCTCTGCATAATGGGGGGCAATCCGCGTCCCCTAAGAGTCGCAGATTACAGACATCTAACCCTCATAGCCAGCCCCAAGTGGTCCGCAAGTCCCGGAGGGCGCGGTGCCCCCCTCGTCCGAAAAGCAGTAGCGCTCTAGACAGGGGACTGTCCGTCCTGGCTTTCCTCTTTATTTTTTTCTTCTACCCCCCCCCTCTCTCTCCCTCCGGTTGTGTCGGGTACTGCCTGACCTGTACTGGACGAAATAATGTCCTTGACTGGCCTTGTGGAAATTAACCCATCCCACCAGCCCCCACAAAAAACTAAACAAAAATTGTGACACTTTTAAACATCATCTATGCCCAGTTGCAATAAGAGAAAGCAGACCGTTTTATTTTTTGTATTTATTTTTGAAGCTAAAAGAAAAATCTCTGTTGTTGCGTACGCTTGAGCTTGTATGCAATTACTGTAAATCTTGTCCTGGAACAGAACCGGAGGGACGCTTCGCTCCCACCGCCGCCCCTCGCTCTCCCTCCCCATCCTGCCAGAGCTAGCTCCTTGTCATCACAACCGCCATCAGATCTGCTACTCGTCCATCGTGCATTTACTCCCCCCCCCCCAACCACCACCACCCCTCGTCCTCGCATTGTGTTGTAATCAGTCAGTCACACACACACAAGGGGTGTTGATTTTTAAAGCAACCCCCGCTTCCCCTACTCCCCCTCCCCTTCCTCGCGCTGCTGGTCCATCACGCTTGCTTCGCCCCCTTCGCCCTCCTGCTGCCGACGTTCTGATCTCATCTAGGAGTCTAGGAGCAGGAGGAGGGAGGAGCGCATAGCTAGCCGTGTCCGGCCGAGAGCAGCGCGGCGGCGGGGTCCGCTTTTCTCACGTCGCAGCAGCAGCGGTGGCAGTGGCCGGGCCGACCACGCCGTGAGAAACACTGGACTCACGGCTGGACGAGCCGCGGCCGCCGCCGTGGACTGTGCCGGACACGACGCGCGAGGGCCCGCCCGGCCTGCCCGCTGCTTTATTGTAGGACAGACCAAACCGAGGGGAGTTAGTTGTAGTTAACCCTTGCCTGTGTGCTTCCAGCCGGCGGCAGCGTCTTTTCTACCCTCCATGCCATAACAAATAAACACACGAAAACGGAAAATGCCGACAGCAACAAAACGACGCTAATGAAAAGGCGGCTAGAGTGTTACGCTTTTTGTGCGCGATTTTATTTTGTTAGCAGAGAGCGAGAGGAGCCCGCTCGTAGAATGAAAATTGGTTGGCCAAAAAAGGGAAGAAATAATGTGGGAGGAGCAGTATAGAGAGGAGAGGGGAGCAGCAGCGGGTCATGAAGGACGGATGCTACAAAAGGCCCCCCGGGGGGCCCCCGGGCTCATGAGCTCTCCCACGCCACCACGCGCCCAATCATGAGGAGAATCTGGACTCCATGGGCCGGCCGGTCATAGGCCATGGGCCCCGTCCCGTCCCGTTCGGGTGACCGTGCGGGCCCCGCTGCATCCGCCCGCCCCCCGAGCCGAGCCGCAGCCGGGCCTCAGAGGCCCGCGGGGCACGAGTGAAGATTCCTTTCTCGAAGCCACCTCTCTCCTCTCCCCCCTCCCCCCTCTCTCCTCCCGGTATCATTAAGGACCCCGTTGTGTTGCAGACGACGCTCAGCCCGTCGGCCGCCGTGCCCGTGTCCATGGTCAGCTCGCCCGCCTCCCCCGGCAGCGTGTGCACCAACGGCGACCCGGACCTGGAGCCCAGGATGGCGCAGCTCGAGACGCTGGAGGCGAAGGTGAGTGAAGCGAGTGGAGCCGCAGAGCTCGCGAAAAAGGGTATGTCAGGTGTGGGGTTCGAACCCACGACCCCATGAGGGGACCAGAACTTAAGTCTGGCGCCTTAGACCACTCGGCCAACCTGACTGCGTGGAGGGGGAAGGGTTCCCGCCGCTACAAGGACCCGCAGCCGGGCGCATGCTCGTGGCCGCGCGCCAGTGGTGGGGGGTCCCGGCGGGCGCGGGAAAACAAACGGTGGCGCTCGCGGGCGCGGGCCTCGCGGCGCGCCTTTGGCGCGGGGCCTAGCCCGCCTTGCGACTCGCGGATCCGAGCGGCCGCTCTTATCTGCTAACCTTTGGATTTGTTTCTACCACTGCAAACCCAACAACAGTGTACTAACGGGAGCACAAGACAGGAAAGAAACTCTATAAGGAAGCGTGCACCCAGAAAGTTTGTACTATGACAAAAGAGACAAGAGAAAGTATACTTCCCATAGTACACACCTTCTTGCATGTGCGCGTTAAAGCACCACAGCATACTGCATGTACTATGTACACTGTCAGGTTTGCAGTGAATGCTCGGGGATGATTTCGAAGCTTACGAGGGGCGATGTGCGACGCTGTTCATGACAAGTCCTCTGTTTCCTCTCCGCAGATGGCGAGCATCGAGGTGTCCCTGTCCACGACGCCGAGAAGGAAGAAGAACGGGTCGATCGGGTCCGCCGCCGGGGTGACGGCCGCCGCGGCCGTGGCCACCAACGGCGTGGGCGTGGCCAACAACAACTCGCCCTACCGCCCCAGCCTGTCGCTGTCGCTCGCCCCCGGCCAGCAGCACGGCCAGCAGCATGGACAGCAGCCCTCGCCGGGCCACAACGGCCACGCCACCCCCGGCCACGGGACGCCGGGCCACCACGGCTCCCCGAGCCCCGCGCCTCCCTCCAACAACCGCGACATGGGCCGCGAGCTGGACGCACTGCGCAACGCGCTCCGGGACAAGGAGAACCTCATCCAGAGGTAAGTTGTAGGCGTCGGGTCGAGCCACGATAACTTGGCGAGCCTCTCCTTCGGCTTTTTCGTCACGGCGTCCGGCGTATGTCCGCAGCCTCCGCGGGCAGCTCATGCACGGGCCGCCGCCCGCGACGCCCACCCCCGCGCC